AATCAAAAAATGGTTGTTAATTCATTCAATTAGTGACAAATTAAAATTTTAAATTTTTTTTTCAGCGATACCTGGGATTCACCATTTTGCTTTTGGTGTTCGTACGTGCTGATGTGTGTGGTTTTGAGTTTGAGCTGTGCCTCAACTTCCTTTATATGCCCTTGTCTGTATCACACACACGCACCGGACCCGCTTACCTCAGCATGCTCACGTCACTGCTTCCTCGGTCATCCATACACATTCGCTTCTTCATCTTGGTTTTTTTTTTTTTTTTTAAATTTACCCTTATTGAAATTTTTTTGCCCCTTTAATCCTCAAATACCTAATAAGGGACATATATTTAGGACAAAAGTTTTTTCCTACAAGTGACTTATCTTAAGGATGGGAGCGGGGTATGTATATCTTATAACACCATTCATCACATGATCTGGGGGGTATTTTGATATTGAGAGATTTTTTTAGTATCTAATAAATTGGGAATTTTTCAATTTTTATATATAACATGATTGCCAAGTCATGTGATGGTATTAATAAGTTTAGTCTTAATTAGAAAATTATTATGAGAACTTAATATGGTATGTCATATAAAATTATGAAAGATAGTACTTAAAATGCTTAAGAATATTAATATAGTTAAAGTTACTTAAGACTACTAATATTTTTTCAGAAATTATGAAAACCTTCCAAGACTGTCGCTAGTTAAAGTAATTAATTTTTATCTCAAAATTCCAGTATAGAAGCCGAAATCTCTCACTCTACTTATAAAAGAAAAAGAAAAACTCACAAATGCTTTGTTAGTGTTTATAAATGACTTTGTACTAAGCAACATGGAAAACTTTAAGAAAGAGTCTTTAAAATAAAGAATAGTGACAGTATTTCTTCTAATTTTAATATCATTCAAAATAATTGCTGGAAAAAAATAATCACGTTGTAAAAGGATTTATTAGTCCTAGCCATAAACTTCTACGAAATATTTTTATTGTATCTTTTCTAAGCCAAAATTACAAGGCATTTTTTTAAGTAAAATTTTTGAAAATGTGAAATATTTGTTCCGCTATATATGAACAAGGTTTTTCGAAAGTAATAAGGATAATTAAATATAAAAATGTAACTTTAAAAGTCTTTGAGTAATTTATTATATTAAAAGCATAAATTAGTTTCATAATTTTAAAAGGGAGGAAATGATGATTAATTTACTTTTCTTTTGTTTCATTCCTAAGAATGTAATAATTTGTTGTCTTTGCTAACCTCCAAGGGCTCCATTGAACTGCGATCCGTTCAATAAACTTCCTTAGCTTGCAACAGGAAATACCTAACATGTGACGAGAAATAACATTGCTCCTTATAATTTTATTTTATGAAGTACTCCTTTGATCCTATTTATAAGGTATTTTTAACATGTTTTACATAGATAAAAAAAAACTTTAAACTATATTAACTCTTCATTAAAATATAGTAACTTTTCAACTTTATCCCTATTTAATATATACACCTTTCAAAAAAAAATAATTATCTACACTATAATAAATGAAGAACAATCTAGTACATTCATGGTAAAAATTTAATAAAGTGACTTATAATAAATAGGACCAAAAAAAACTTCTCTTTCTATCCTATAAATAGGACTAGAGGAGTATAGGAACCAGCGTTTTAAATGGTTAGAGGTACAGAAATTGAATGGTCTCAATTTAGGGACTAAATTTTAATTTAATCAAAACTATAGGGATTAAATAATTAATTTTTGCTTAAAATTTTGCAGAAAAATAGCAAAAGTATTAAATTAACCTAAATAAATGATTAAAATTTAAAACTACAGTGGATATTAGAGGAAGTGAAGACCCACTAGATAGTTTGTCCATGTTAATTATTAATTAAAAGGCCCCCTGTGAATTTTGAAGATAAGACAAGTTGATTTATCACGTAGATTTAGAAGATAAGAAACTATTTTGCATCCACACACGCGTCTTTTTTAGTTTCAGACAATAAAAAGGGACTGCCCTCGTTCGGAACCTCTCCTCTCCTCTTCCCATCCTCTTTTCTCCTTTTCTTTTTTTTTTAACTGTTAGATTAACATATTTTAACAGTTTATATTTTAATTTTTTAAAAAACCATTTATAAAAAAATTTTAAAAACATTTAATGCACTTATGAACCATTAGAATTAAATTTTAATATAATTTGTAATTTATTATTTATTTATTTTTATAATTTAATATGTTAATACTAGTTTAAAAGAGATTTCATTCTGAACTATTAAAATATTAATCTAACAATTAAAAAAAAAACAGAGAGAAGGGAAGAGGATGGGTTCCAAACCGGACTTGCCCCTACATACATTTATTATATTTGTGATTTCATTGGTGAAAGCATAGATGATTATCACGTGAATGGAAAATGTACTCTCATAATATAAGTCACATTAATTAATTCATCAAAAGTAAGAAACAGTGGCTAACTCATTAAACTTGTCACAAATTGAAATTTTAATTTTTTTCTTTTCAACTTTACTCATATAAAATGTGGCCGTGAAGAAGAGAGAAAAATAGAGAAGTCACATTTAAATACGAGAACGGGTATATATTCTCTGCGTGTTGTTTCTCGTTTTTCATTCCAACCGCCTGTGGTGATATCTGGTATCTAATTTACTATCTCTATTGCATTTACTTCTTTTGTGGTGAATATTTTTATTTTATTTTTATATTTTATCACCTCTCACCTGGCCTCCCTCTTGTTTGAAGTTCTACATTAACAATTTTTTTTTTAATAAAACTCAAAGTATCCTCAAGTCAATTTTGGGCTTGAGAATAATCTCTCTTGAGTTGAGAGCATTATAATTAAAGTTCTCATAATAAGTACATTTCTTGAAACTTAAATTTATGCTTTCCTCCTTATGAGGTGAGACCGTTTACTATCTCAACTAACAGCTTATCAGTCTGCATTAACAATTTTTTAATCAAATTATTTTTTTTCCAATTTGATCTTCCTCAAATTGAACATTTTATTGTAAATTTCCCAGTATTTGTGCATGTTGGCATATGATCCTATGCTTTTTAATTATTATATTGTATAAAATAACAATTTTTTTTATGCATAACAAAATAAATTATTTTAAATAAAACTTGGAAAAATTTAAAAGTAATTTTGCATTTGCAGTATACGGTATATATAACGGAGGGGAAAACAAGAAAATTTTCATTTATGCCGTTTGATTTCGACATATGAATGTTGAAAAAAGTCATGATTTAATTTGTATACGCACACAAGACCGACACACTCAACGTGTTGACGTCACTGCTGCCTACGTCATACTTGCATTGTTTATTTTGAAAAATTAGTTCAAAGGGCAAATATTTTTGCCAATTGTAACTATTCATCATATTTCTTAAAACAAAATGTACACTTCTGAGTAAATTTATTAATTAATTTATCCATATTATAAATATAATTTACTAAAATCAGATATATTACTCTGAATTTCGACAAATAAATACCACAATTCATGAAGGTGAGCGTGACAACTCCCTATATTAACATAGAGTAGTTTTTTAATATCTTCTTTGGGGATTTTATTATATTTATTGACCTTATTATAAGTCACTGTAATTCGTTCACACATAATAAGGAATGTATTAAATTGATAACCTTTTTTAAATTTATCCTTATTAAAACTTTGAAAAATTAAAAAGTAATTTTGCATTTTTGCAATCAATCAAGAAATTAAAAATTTTTATTCATACAGTTTGATTTGGATATATGAATTTTTGAAAAAAGTTATGTATAACAAGAAGTTATGGATGGGAACAATATAGAGGTACAGTTATTTTCAGAAAGAAAGTTTTTTTTTTTTCGGGGCCGTTGCCGCTTTTAGACATCTCCTTAAATTCTATTCTAGCATTTATCAAATCTGAGTCGCTGATTTGGGTTTTCTAAATTTTTGGGGTGTTGTTTTGAAATCTTTCCTAGTGTTTAGCAAGAGTAATTATTTTTTGTTTTGTAGGGATAAAGTGCTTATATATGATGGACATATCTACAAATGAACATTTAACACCTAGAAGGATTTTTTTTGCTCTTATATTCTTTAAATGTTTAATTTGGCAGTATTTATGTCTTGAACTGTTATCCATCATCAAATTTAACCATTAAAAATACTAGTCAAATTGCATAATTTAACAGTTAAATTTAAGTAGATAATAGCATGTTGACGTCTATGCTTTCTCCTTCGTACATATGCATTTCTTTTTCTTCTTCTTTTGTTCATTAACAAAATATTACGTTTGTTAAAATGATTGATAAAGTTTATTATAACTAAATACTAAAAAAAGGATAACTTAGTTTGGTAAGCTAAATATTTAAAATAATGAATGGGTTGTAGTAGGCTGAGAATGTAGTAAGCCCAACAGAAGTAGGAGTCTATGCCCTAATAGAGAAGTGGAATAACAATTTAAACATCGAGTAATTGATGTAATCTCGAAAGAGGCAAGGTGACAGAACAGAATGTTCAAGGTTTCTTAAATCCCTGAATAGTGGTAGAAATTTCTAAGGGATAGTGGACCAAGAGGTTTAGTGATTGGATGCTGTTGAATGAAGAACTGATGATGAGTTAGATGCCTGACTAGACATGACATAGTAAGGTGATTAAATCACTACTATGTAATGCAATTAGCACATGATAATCAATGTCTGACCGTAGGAATGATTGGTCAGAAGGTAGTGAAGTTAGAAAAGTTATGTCAGGCAAGATCCTTCTTGACGATGGTGTTGGATAGAGATAGATGAGAATGTGATAGTTAAAGGTTGCACAGGGAATTGAATTGTAATGAAAGATGAGAAAATTCTTAATGATACCTAAAACCTGATAATGCTAAAATACTTGATAATGTTAGGGGTTATATTGCTCTTTTGTGTCCCTAAGATGGTTAAGAATGTGCAACCACAATACCCAGGCCAGGGTAGAATGCAAAGAAAAGAAATCCCCACTAAGAGGCACCACTGCCTATGGGATTAGATAATTTTAGTGGAGAGGCTCCCTTTGATAGGGATATGTAATCAAGGAGTGTACCCTGGCAGAGATTGAATACAATGAAAGTCTTAGCCACAAAGTATCTCTCTGAAGGTAGATGTGATCCTTCGTCACAGAAATTATATTGCTTTTGTGAAAGTAAGCCATTCTTGGCAGGAATTACAATGAATAGCCCAAATGGAGTTGATAATGATGTATTCTCCATCAGTAATTTTGGAAATGGGGACTACCAATTGTGCTAGCATGAGCAATATGTTCGCCCAATAAGGCAAATCCTCTAATGAGGATAGTGGGATGCAACTGAGTTAGGGCACGGAGTAGATCTTACCTTGAGGAGAGCTAAACTAGTCAAAAGTAATGGAAAGGTATTATGACGCAAACACATGAGACTCCTCGAACTTAACAGAGTACTATAGTATGGTAATAGGTAATGAGAACATAATGATATAAGTCCTCTCTCAATACTGTTTCAGATTGATAAGAGGTAGCAAGGACTACAGAGTCCTAAGGCAAGGCAAATCGGTATTGACATGATGATAAGCTAATAAGCTTGACAAGTGAGCTAGTGCCCGATAATTCAAGAGGCACCATGAAACGAAAGTGAGCTAAAGTAACCAAACTCAAGGGTTAAAGAAATATGAAAAGACTAAGAATTCCAAATTTGGCTGGAAGTATTAAGTAAGATTTAAGAAGACAATACTAGCGTTTGTGACCAGTCATGGAAAATAATCAGTCAAGTTACCCATGTGGTAGAGGCGACTTATTTTATTACTCAGTCTCATGGTCTGAGATCTTTTATAGATCTTAACATGGCAAATTGACGACAATGATATTCTAGGGTTATAATAGACCTTGAAGAGGCTTACAGTGGAGCACAGTAGCTCCTAAGGTCATAGTAAACTAAGCTTAAAGGAAAGATGTTAAGCCGAGAGGATGATGCCTCTCAAGGTATGAGAGTGGGATGACATGCTAAGTCGAAAGGGTGATGCCTCTCGAGACATGGGAATAAGATGACATGTTAAGCTGTGAGGGTGATTCCTCTTGAGGCTTGATAACAGAATGACTAGGGATGAGTTTAAGATATAGAAGCCCCCTCTAATGGTTAACTAATATAGAGAGAGCACCCTTGGCTTTTTCAAAGATACCATTGTTGTCGATTAGGCCAAGAACTGTAAGTCCTAAACAGTGTATATTCAAGCAAGCTAATTGTGAAATGAAAAGGTAAAAGAAGGAATATAGATCTTTAAGGTAAAGAGAAGGATGGCTGAATATGCTAACACACCTGTTAAAGGCAGACATTGCTTGAGATAATAATTACCATTCCACTATACAGATGGCTTAGTGTGAAGCCTTATATGGCAGGAAGTGCCGATCACCAATGCGGTGGACTAAACTAAATATAAGAAGAGTTTATAGTCCAAAGAGGATAGATCAAGTTTGAGGATAATTGAAGATAATTGACAAGGACTGTTAAGCACATAAAGTAGACAAAAAAGCTATACGAACATCAGAAGAAAGCTCTTAGAGGTTGTGGTTAGACATACTAACCACAGGAATGGGTCAAATCCCAAAGGTGAAATAATTAACGCCTAAGACCCTTCCAAATTTTTGTTAAAAGTTAAGCCGGTAGCTTATGAATTGACCCTATCCCTTAATCTTGACCAGACACATCGCATCTTCTATGCTTCTTAACTAAAGAAGCACCAATCAGATGTATCACACCTCATTTATTACCTTATTATATGATAATTGGAACCCTTTAAGATCATTATATAGGCCTTAGGAATGCGAAAATCTCCAAAAATTTGAAACTTTTCAAATTTTTAGTCCAGGTTGCGACTTGGTACTTCCAAGTCATGACTTGAAGTCATAGAGGCCATCTTTGCTTCAGGTCACAACCTCAACTTCCCAGGTTGCGACCTGGGGTCACAAAGAGCCTTGGGCACTATTCATCATTCACTAAAATCTTTGCCAACTTTAGAAATTTAGAACTAAATGTAGAAAAATTGAAACGAGGTGGTTCCAAGTTCTATGAAAAGCTCTTGACATGCTCTTTAAAGAAAAAACATCATTGGTATCTAGATCTCGTGCATCAATCCCATATTTCATTCAAAGTGGTATTGCTCATTTGGTCATTTTCTAATTTTTCAGAATTTATGCCCAACTTTGGAAGGGCATAACTTTTTGTATAAAACTCCAAATTTAATGAATTATCACTTGTTTTAAAGTTAAAGATGAGATCTATAAGCATGCTAAGTTTTAGCTCAAGACTCATCCAATGCATGAAATTTCATCAGTCAAACTTGACCCTTGAAAAGTCAACTTTTATCCCTATTCCATACTATTCTTGCTTTTTCTTTTTCTTTTCCTTTCATCTAGCTTTTCCCATGATTCTTACCAATTTTTCAAATGTAAGGTATCCTTGTCATTGATACATATCTCAATATAATCCGTACATATACATAATAATACATAACATTACATAACAATGTCATACATATAAAGTTGGTAAGTAGCTTTCATATACTTCTACAAACATATTCCTTCCATCACCATACCATCTCCTTGTTCTTGAGCATATTCTTTGAGGTTCCTATTGATGGTTTATACTTTCATCTAGCTTTTGATTGAAATTGACGTCAAATCCATTTAATTGTTAGGCCATTATTTGCACGAAATTTTTGGCTTTTCGTGGCCCAAAATGAAGCCAAAAGTGGAGCCCATTTATAATTATTAATTCCAAACAAAAATACAATTTATCAGTTACTATTGACTTGTAACTTTTCATCATTTTTTAGGCCCCCAAAATTACATTTCTCTCCATGAAAAATCCTCTTTTCATATACGGATATGATCTAGAAATTTTTAGGATTTTTTTTCAACTCTAACTATTTATTTTGAATTTTCTCTAAATAAGCCTTTATCAGTAAAATTGTGAGAAATTAAATACTCTAAAATTAATTCTTGTACCTATAAGGCCTAAAATTAATTTTATAAATTCCCATCAAAATTTAAACAATTCATCCGCATTTTTTCTAAAATTATGAAGGCCTTCAACTATTTAAAATAATTATTTTCCTCCTATTTTTCACTGTTTTTCTGAAAAACCTTTGTGTTCGGAAAATTCCATAATAATCCATTTTCATACCATTTTCACCTCTAGGGTCTCCATTGAGGTTCCAAAACCTCTAATTCACCTTTTCTTTTCTTTTTTTTACCATTTTTTAGAATTTTTCTAGAATTTTTCTCACATTTTCTCATTTTGCCCTCCCTGGACCGATAAATTTGAAAGTGCCGATCTAGAGCCTTTTGGGGTCTCACACCATGCCAATCTTCTTTCCCTATGGTCCCTTAACCAAATTTTTCATCCCTTCCATCAATGCTAAATTTGGTAGGATGTGACAAGATCCCTCTTGTATTTTGAAATATGAAGATACCGTGCTACAAGATAATTTGACATTCGAGGTTAAGCTGATAAAAATTGTAGATCAACAGATTAAGCAGCTACAAAACAAGACCATTCCAATGGTCAAGGTGATCTGGGAGAGCTCAACACAAGAAGCAATGTGAAAAAAGGAAGACGATATGAAGAGCAGTCACTTGAAGTTCTTCGTCTAGGGTATATGTAAATTTTGAGGACAAAATTTATTTAAGGGGGAAGAAAATGTCACATCCTAGAAAAATTAAGCTTAACAATGGATATAAAATATCAAGTCAAGGGCCAATACGGAATGATGAAGCCAAACATGACATAAAATCCTGATAGGGTCTAGACTGATATTTTTGAAATTATTGATCCAAGAAAGACAAAATGGAAAAATTTGAAAACAAAAGTCCAGAAAATTCCTAGAAAATGGTAAAAAAGTAAATTAGAGGTTTTGGAACCTTAATAGAGGCCCTAAAGGTGAAAATGGTGTGAAAATAGTTATTTACAGAATTTCTTGAAAACAGAGGTTTTTTTAAAAAAAAGTGAAAAGTGAGTAAAAATAATTATTATAATTATTTAGAGGTCTCAATAATTTTGAAAAAAATATGAAATAATTATATAAATATTTATTGAAATTTATAAAATTGGTTTCAGGCTCTGAAAGTATAAGAATTTATTTTAGAGAATTTATTTCCAAAAGTTTTACCAATAAAGCTCTATTCGGGAAAAATTCAAAATAAATAGTTAGAGGTGAAGACAAATTTTAGAATTTTTCAAAATTCATTCTTATATTAAAATAGTATTTTTCAAAAAGAAAAATGAAAATTTGGAAGTCTAGAAAAATTATGAAAAGTTACAAGTGAATAGTCACCGATAAGCTTCATTATTGTTCAGAATTGATATCTAAATTGTGGGCCACATTTTTGGGCCATTCTAGATCAAAAGTGGGCCCCACATTGAGGTAAGAAAGGCCTAAAAATTTCTTCCAAACCTGGCCCAATAATTAAGATAGATTTAAGCCCAATTTTCACATAATTAGTGGAATATTCTTGGAATATGGACACATGACATGATCTGAAAATTGGAGGGTTTGATAGCAGCCAAATGGCCTCCTAAATGGTAGAAAAAGCACGCCTAAATTGGGTAAAAAGGTCAGATTTCTTGCTCTATAAATACCCCATAATTACACTAAAATAGCCAAAAAAATTGACAAAAGAGGAGGGGTGCTGCCAAACTGATTTTTTTGAGCGTAAAAGTGAGTCTTAATTAGTGTATTTGAAGGAGGAATTATCAAGCTTTGGTCAAGGATTCATCAAGGTATGTTTGAGCTTTGGTTTGGTTAAGATTCAAGCTTGTTTTGGTTAAAATTTCATGACCTAATCTTAAGGTTCCATGCTGTCCATTTTCGGCTGAATTGAATATGTGTTAGGGAAGGATAGAAGCCTTGAATATAAACTTGAATTCACATTTTTAAGTGGTGTTCAGTTGAATTTTGGAAGAAATCAAAATTAGGGTCCTATGGCATATATTTCGGCCACCATGGTTTTTTTGGGTAGGAATTTGTTTTACTGTGATTTGATAATTCTAATGAGTTTAAAATATATTTTTTTGTAAGAAAACACTAAGAGAAAGTGTTTAAAATCATTATAATCAAAAATAAAATTGTTGCAAGACATACTACCCCTATTGGGCCATAGCGAATTGAAAGGGGAGGAGTGTGATTTTGTAAAATCAGAATTGATATTTGGATTCTACATGAAAAATTATGTAGGAATGAGCTAAAATATTGATGAAATCAAAGGAGGAATAGTTATGTCAAAAATCAAGAAAAAAGAAGTTTAATTGAGCTTAATGTCAAGCAATTATCAGCCTGTTTGGATGAGCAGTTGTTGGGTCAAAAGTGACTTAGGGTTCGTTTGGATTGCCGTCTGGAATACCAAAAGCACACGAGAAAGCGTGAAACTGCGGTTTGTGGCTTATTGCAGCTCAGAAGACTGTTTGGATTGAGTTTCGTTTCTAACTGACTTATGAAAAAAAGTAACTTTTCTGACTGACTTATCCAATGCAATCTGGATCAACTTTTCTAACTGACTTATGGAAAAATTGTGCAAAGCTTACGATCTAATTAGTTATGTGATTCTATTTACTTTAATTAGAGACCAAATAAATTTTAATTTATATTCATGTTTGTTCATTATGTATATTTAATTAATTATCTACAATATATTTTCAAATTTTTCTCCTTAACAAATATTTTTATTTTATAATTTTACAAACAAACTATTTATATTTTATCATAATAATTTTACGTGTTTCTTTAAATTATTATTACATTAAAAATATAAAATTTCAAGCACTACTCTATATCCTTTTCAATCATTTTATAACTAAACTAACTTTTCTATTAATCATCCAAACAACTTTTAACTTTTTCAACTGATTTTTTAAAAGCATCTATCCAAACATAAATTACATTACACTGACTGACTTTTACTCTAATTTCAGTTACAAAAGTCAGTTGGGTTAGAAGTCAGTTTTACCCAATGGCAATTCAAACATACCCTTAAACTAATGATAAGCCCGTTTGGATAAGCTGATGGCAGTTTGGGAGAGCTTTTTAACCATTTCACTTCAGGACCAAAAGTGAGATTGCATCGCGCGTTTTGATAAGCTGATGGGTTGAGGTTTTTGCAATCCATGTACGCGAGCGGTGAGAAGCAGCCTCTAGAAGAGTGCGAGGGTGACGTGCGCATGCGCGTGTCAGGCCGTGTCTTCAAAAATATTTATCTTCACTAGCGAGTAATTATTCTAAAAACCAACAAATATAATAGATTAAAATTAAAAAATTTAATTTAGTTATTTATAATAAATAAATATTATCTTTTTAAAAATATTCTTATTAATTAAGTGTGTTGGTTAGAACTATGATTATGATAATGATTAACTTAAAAAATGAATAATTTAACCATGTTTCATAATTTATTAAAACTCATACCCATTTTGGTAATTTTACAAACAAACTTACTTTTACCCAATCATAATCCAAACAATTTTTTTACCAATCTCACTTTTACAGACTAAATTTTTTAAACTCTAGTCCAAACACAATTCATCTTATCTAATTTAACTTTTACCCAACTTCACTTCTCCATAAGCTATTTTTTCAATCGCTGATCCAAACGGACCCTATGTTTATGCTTGAATTATTGATAATTTGGAATGTGTTTATGCATGAACTGATAGGAATTGTATAAGAGAACAGGGAGGAACTGAAATTCTTGGACTAAAAAAAGGTAGTAGCATAGAATTCACAATTTATAATGTTAACTTGCTTGGTTGTTACATAATATGATTGCATGAATAAGTGTTGTGTTATGTTTGAGATTATTTGATGAAAATGATATGTTAGTTAATTACATTGTATGCCTTGGCAACATGTATTAACATGTTATTTATTGGTGAATTGTGATGATATTTGTATGGCATAGAATGTTCATGAATATATATAATCTACCTTGCATGTTTGACATTATAATTGTAACTCCTGTTACTCAGATTTCTATCAAATCTCATTCCTCTATATTTAAATATTCACCAACTAGGAGTTGGATCAAGTAAGGAGAAAGGAAAGGGATTCACTTGGAGGATGATGGAGTTTAATGTTTCTTGAAAGTATGTTTTGTAATCATTATACATTGTTATGTATTATTGGGAACTATGTTGGAACTTTGTATTCATTATTGATGATACCTTACACGTAAGCACTCCATCAAGGAAGAACCATATTTAAGGTATGTGAAGTGTGACTTGAAAGATCATTGAAGGAAAAAGAAAAGAAAAACCAAGAATAGCATAAAAAAAGGATAAAAGTTGACTTTTTAGGGGTTAAGTTTGACCGACGTGATTTTAAGCAATTAGATGAATCTGGATCTGAAATTTGGCATGCTTATAGAACATATTTTAGCTTTAAAACAAGTGGTAATTCATCAAATTTGGAGTTTTATACAGAAAGTTGTATCCTTTCAAAGTTGGACATAAATCTTGAAAATTTGAAGAATGACCAAATGAACAGTACCACTTGGAACGAAATCTCCGATTAATGTATGAGTTCTGGATACCAATAATTATTTTTCCTTTAAAGAGCATGTCAAGAGATTTCTATAGAACTTAGAACTATCTCATTTCGATTATTTTAGAATTAGTTATGAATTTTCAAACTTTGACCTTTGTAAAGATTATAATGAATAGTAACATGAATTTAAGAAAATTTAAAGTTTGAATTTTTCCAACCCAAGGCCATGATAAGTGATTTTAAATGGTTCCAATTGATATAAAATGAGGTATAAAAATAAGGTGTGACGACATTCAGCTAAAAGTTTGAAAACTTCTCCCTTAACCTTCCTTAAATTTTATCCTCAAGTATGGTTCATGTTTAACTCTCCAATTTTAAACCATTTTTCTCAGCTGTTGATTTTAGCATCACAACTGGATAACTCAATCAATCATTTAAAATTACTATATAACATCAATTAGTGAATTCCCTATTTTCGCTAATCCACAAAAAATTACATCCCAATTGCTGTTTTAGCATCCTTAAATTTATTTAATCATCTACAACACCAAATTCTATTTAATTTCACTCCCCAACTACACCATCCTCTTGAATCCCTTAACCTCTCATTCAACTAACGAGTTCCATTTCCTAACCAACAGCAACCTGTGCGTGCATATCCTACGTCATTTGAACATCATACATGCCTCTTAGCCTCTAAAAATTTCCAAACAGCTCTACACATTAAATCTGTAATTTCCCAGATTTAAACATACCTTTCAAAGATTCAAAATTCCATATGCAATCACTTAAATCAAATACTACAAACTTGATTATTGCTTTTCACTTCCAATCTGATTTTTGGCTTACGAACTCACCCCTCACGGCACACACAAACATAATTATATGTGTATGTATATCTTTCTAGTTTAGTTTCAGATTCACGTCCAAACACATAAGCTATCAATTATGCGCGCGCGCGTGTGTGCACATATATATGCTCTTAATTTTCTCTCCTTAAACCAGAACCAACAGCATTCATCCAAAGAAATTAAACCTAGATCATCAAAATCAAACAACAAAATCTTCCCCTGTTTCAGCCTTGAAGAACCAGAGCAAAAATCAACATATGCAACCAGAAATTTTAAGCTGCATTCCCTCCTTCAAGATTCAGGGAATCCGGAACCAATCTCTGAAACTTTTAACCAAGTTTCGAGAGTGAATATCTCTCAACAATTAAGCAACATGCAACAAAAGATTTCAGTAACGCAAAACCATAAAAGTCGAAACATGAAGCCCCTGTTTCAGTGTCACAAACCAGTCGGTCCTCAACATGCAGAAATCATAAACAGCATGCAACATCACAACTCACCCGAACATGCATCCATCAACCATCACCTACCCTTAATTCATTAAGCTACCCATTTTCCTCCACAAATAAAGGCTTTTACATAGCTTCAACTCTTCGGCAGCATGTAGGATAGAAGAAAGAAGGGTATGAGAGTGATATTTCCACCTATCTTGGTCTGAAACAATGATTGCACGCACCAAAACCCTTCTTCGATCACCTTCTCCGCTGTTGCTCTTCTCTGGTTCTCGAACTCTCTTTCTCTCGACTTCCACTCTAATTGCAGGTGAAGAATGAAGAGGGGAAATGGGTTCTGATGGGTTATTTTACGAGGGAACAAGCGCAGCATGAGTAGGAGTGAGGGAAATGACCATTATGCCCTTTATTGCTTTCCTTTCTTCCATTTCCACCATCTCTACTATTTTTCTGAAATATAAAATACACCCAGAAATTATTCCACAATATTTTATATGGATTTTTCTTGTCCATTATCTTCTTTGACCCATAAAATAGTTTCTCTACAAACTTTGTGTCACAAGTAACTTTTTTTCTTGAATTTGCCAAAAAAAAGCCATTAACTCTAGAAATTAATCCTTAACCCATTTTAAAGATTTTATCCCTTAATTTGTATCTTTACCTCATAAAATAATTATCCTGAATTTTTCACCTCAAATATAAATTCCTAGCTATTTTTTTCCTTGAATTTTCTAGGAAGATATATCATTTTTGCACTGACAAATAACCTTAAAATTATTTAAGTCATTTTTGGGAGCATAACTTTTTCATAGAATTTTTAAACCTTCAAAATTAATATTCCATAATTGCCTCCCTTTTACTTAGGCTTAAAATAATTTTATGAATTTTCTTTTTAACTTTTCTTGAGTCAGAAAATTAGGGGGTGTTGTAGCTAATCCTCAAATAAAACTATATCTTTGTTTTCTTCAAACCACTGTCACCATTTTCTAATTTATACACAAGACTGAATGATTCTTTTACCAGGTTGTTTAGAATCTCCTTATATTTTTATTTATCTTCCTTGAAAGGGAAAAAAAAGCTCTAAATCATGGTGAATAATACTACCTCTGGTTATTAATATAAGAGCTACTTTGACTTTCAATTTTATCTTTTTATAAGACCTCAATCTATTTTATCTCTCATTTTGATTCATTTTTTAGTATAATTTTTGTATTAGTTGCACATGTTATCAAATGGTAATTCTAACTAATATACTTGATTAGCGAAGATATTTTAGGAAAGACAACATTTATTTATTACCAATAGTTAACTTAACTAATTTTCTTTAGCTCTTATATGAAATACCAGAGATAGTAAATTAATATGTGATTGCTAATTTCTTGTGCATGTTGCTGTGATAAAGAGATAGTTTTCACTGCACAGAATTCATTTTGAATTTGAGGATGTCACCATATCCTTTTTATTCGAGGATTATCTCTATATACTTTCAATCAAAGAAAAGAAGTTGGTTCATTATCGCGTGTAAAATACCATGATATTTTGAATTTTATGTGCTGTTTTTCATCTTTCATTATTTCCTCGCATTTGTAAATCACATAACCTTATTACTTGAGGATTATCTCTTGTAATACTAAACATGACCATTAGAATAACGTGTTCATTAGTGGACAGGTTTTATTAGGTTCAAACAGTGTAGTTAAGTATATGCACTTTGCGTTTTATTTAGACATGACCCAATAATACTTTAGAGACAGCGAATCAAAGCATATGTGCGTGTGTGCGCGCGCGCGCGCGCGCGCGCGTGTTGTGTGGCGAAGTTATTCTTCATAGGATCTGACGAAACATATATATTCCGTTTAACTAATTAACTGAACTCAAATACTTCTTCGATCCTAATTATAAGACCCAATTGACTTATTTGAGGAGATTAAGGAAATAAGTTAAGTTGGTTATTTATAATAAATAAGTGTTGTCATTCCTAAAATATCTTTGCTAATTAAGTATATTGGCTAAAACTATCATTATTAGAAGGATTATCTTGGAAAAAAATGTATAAATATAAGAGACAAAATGGATTTGGGTCTTATAATTAGGACCAAATAAAAAGTCAAATGGGGTTTTATAATAAGGACCGGAGGAGTATTTGGGTTAATTCAGTTTTAATTTATTTAGTTAATGGGTTTTGGTTTGATACTTAAAATTGGTGTTCTTTGATTTTTCAGTTAATTCGATTTTCACAAAAAAAACCGAATGCTCACCAAACTTCCTCCGTCGTGATATACCAACAAGGCTGCACGTGTATTTGATGGGAATGATCAAATCAAAAAGCACACAATTTTAAAATAATATAGAGGGGAGGAGGGACATGTGGGTCGACATGCACGTTAAAGATCTGTTGAGCTGTCGATGTCAAGTTTTTTTTTTAATGAGAATTATCAAATTAAAAAACATAAAATTTTCAGAATTTTCAGGGATTTAGTTTATATTATATATATTTATGAGATATGAGATTATTTTCTTTTTCATGTTTCAGATTTTATATTTAAGATTTTGAATTATTTCACCATCGATACAAATGTTTTTTAGAATTAAATATAACCACATCAACATTTCAAAAATAAAATAAAAATTTGATGAAATTATAAGGCCTACTAATGACACCATATTAACCCTTTAGAACTAAAAAAACAATAAAACAACATTTGGTTAATTCAATAATTAAGTAAATATGCAAATCGAATCGGTAACGTCGACCACGAGTTTTACATCCATGCATCCATAAATATCAATAGTCCAATAATTGAAAATGACCCATGGATGTTGCAAACATGCTATCAAAATTTCAGCCTTATCCAACGGTTAATACGTAAACATCGATTTACCAATGAGACTGCCTTATGAAGATGCAAAAATGATTCTCTCTCTCTTCTTCTCTGCCTTAACGGCTGCTATTCTTCCTTAAATGAGGTCTCTTCCACATAACCCTAATCTGCCCACTCTCCACTTTAATCAGTGAGACTTAAATGGGTTTCAAATATTGGGCCTTTCTTACAATGCGAAAGGAGCCCAAACCTCATATAATAACCTACCTATGCTTTTTAACTATTTTATTGTATAAAATAATAATGTTTTATGGCTAACAAAAACAAATATTCTAAGTAAAAGTTTGAAAGTAATTTTGTACATGCAATATAATTGAGGGGAAACAAGGAAATTTTCATTTACGCAATTTGATTTGGGCAAATGAGTGTTGAAAGTAAGTTATGATAGCTATGTATGAAGGAACACAACAAATAGCGACGATCATTTTAAGACGGAAAAGGTAAAAAGTTTTCGACATTGCTTTAGAATTTTCCTTAGTTTCTTCTGACAAGACAGTAATCATTTATTTTGGTGTTGAGCTATTTTTAATTTATACACCTACAATATGTTGGTTTTTTCCCCCTAAGAACCAGTAACGCTTCTTTTAAAAATTCATGAAACTGGATTGGAAGTGGGCATGGATAACAAAACTAGAAGCGGTTTCATAAGCCCGATCGTGTAATTGTTGCACTTGGGATATGAACTGTCGGGGTGCGGAGTTTGCACCATGAAAACACATTTGATTCATTTGAGGTTACAATTAGAAGCCGTTTTATAAGCCCCAAACCAATTTTGGTGATCATCGCAACGAATACTCATCAAATCTCAATGGTTTAGGTTTAATATGGACAGTCAAGATTTAAATTTTTTATTTTTGAAAAATGTTTTTCTTTAATAGGTATATGCTCCAAAATAAATGTAATCTCTTAACTGTAAGTTTTTCCCAAAAAAAAATTATTGAAAAATTTTTAGTTGAAAATTTTAAATCTATATACTATTAAAACTATATTTGAATAGTCTAGATTTCAACAATGGTTGCGTATTTTACATTCATTTAAATTGGCACTGTGTGGTAGTTCCCGAAAATGGCATTCCACGGATGGAAGGATATATATAGTGATTGAATATATATATATATATATATATATATAACACAGCTAGGTACGTAGCAAATGAATACCATAGAAGCTCAGGAAAAAAGCATACGGAAGGCAAGTAATATATAATCACAAGTAATAATACGACTCATGCGTACACAAACATAACAAAACAAACCCAATAACACAGTAGCAACAAGCAACAGCAGACACGAAAGGAAACTCACATGCAAATTAAACCACCAGACATGAACAGCAAGCACACGCACAGGGTCGCCGGTGATACTTTATTTAGTAATATATTATAAGAGCATGCAAGCATGCCCGGTGTGCGTGTGGATGATGAAGCTCAAATCTCAGGTTCATCAGATGGCGCTGGCAGCCCACACGGATATGCCAGTAATGCGGCCTGTGATGAGGAGCATAATACAGGCCACAAGGAAGACGAACGGTCGGACAGTGTTCCAGTCGTTGATGAAGAAGCTATAGCCAGCAAGCAGCTTGCCTCTGGGATAAGGTAAACCATTGAATATCCCCACTAGTTGTCCGACGTCGTTGACAGGATTTGCCGTAGAGGGTCTGGTAAATGACATAATCAATAAGACCTGCGACCTGGTTGTACAGAGGCAAGTAGAAATCCTGACTGAGAGGAGGAGGCACAGTGAGGGAGACCTCAAGGCCGCGGTTTCTTTCCCTCAGCCCCACAATCACACTCTGCATAACATCCACAAACTGAGCAGGAGGCACAGGGATCTGGTCGTAGTAAACGTCGATGCCATCAAAACGGTAGCGGGTGGATGAGGTTTGTGAGGCTGTTGACGGCTTCGGCGACGTTAGCCCGTGCGAGATTGAAGGGATAACCTCCATGCTCAAGAAGAACTTGAAATTCTCATTTTCACTTTTGAAATCGTGGATTTGTTGGGCAATGACATTGAAATCGAGCTGGAAGTTTCCATTTCCGCCCCTGTCTTTGGCGAAGACCACAGCGATTTGGCCTGCTCCACCCCTCAGAGGCTGCAATTCGTCGAAACTGTGGACGTAAGCCCGAAACACACAGTTGGTATTCGCCATTTTGATTTTGGTGTTGGTGCTGATCTGATCTGAGTTGTGCCTCAACTTCCTTCATGCCTTATCTATATATACACACCACGCAGGGCCCGCTTATCTCAGCATGTTGACGTCACTGCTCCCTCCATCATACATGCATTTATTTATTTTGAAAGATTATCTAAAGGGGCAATATTTGGCCAATTGCAACTATTCACCGTTATTTTATTTTTTTTAAAATATCGCTTCCATCCTTTTTATAAGCCATTTGCAGGGAATTTAATGATCATTTTCTAATTTTATCCTTATTTAGTTCTCGTTGCAAAAAGAAAAAGAATGTGATAGATGTGATAATAATTTGTAAATACAAAAAAAAATTTAATATGGGTAAACTCAAAAATTTTTTATCAGTTTAATACATTTCTTGGCATATGAGAATGAATTGCAAATGAAAATGTGGATTTTAAATCAATTAACTACATGTTTAACTTTACACCAATTATTTTAAATAAAAATAATATAAAACATGGATTTAAATCAATTAACTACAGTAAAATAAATTTTAAAATTGAAGAAAAGAAAAAAAAAATTGAGAAAACGAAATGACGTAAGACGTAATGCTTAAGGATAACCTTCAAAACTAGCTTGGCAAGAAAGGTGCCTAAGTGGCATCTCCACTGCCTTTCTTGCTTCTTTGTTCAGTTTCGTCCTTCGTCCGTTTCGTTGCCACTGATTCATGTCAGGTGGTGAACTTAACTTGCCTTAATTGTCACTTTGGGGTTACTCCAAAAATTAACGGAATTAATGCAATATAGTGCAAAACTCGGGTCGTTTCACTTTGAGGAGCCGAAAACGAAATTAAACCCTAGTAAATGAATGCAAGTAACCTAAACTATAAAAAGAGATTTTTGATTTTGAAAAGCTGTTAATTAAATACTACGAATCAAATTGAAATTAAAATACTTTTTTTTTGTTTCTATATAAAAGTGATTCAAATGAATGGAGATTAAAGAAATGAAAATGAGACACACAAATAACACTGATAAAAATCAATCATCCAATTCAACAATGCAGGCAATCATCACTCTAAAAGATGTGGGAGTTAAAAACAATGAATTAAGAATTATAATTAAGCTTTTGATCCAACAACTGAGCCACCTCGAGTTGCCACAAAATATTTTCCTAAAATCTCAACTTACTAACTGCAACCAGAATAGTAAAGTGGGATTAAGGATGCTAAAAAAACCAATGCTTAATTAGAACTCTTAAATCCAAAATAACAGAATTAAAGCTAGCAAGAGACTATATGATCCAAAATTCTAAGCCACCTTAGAAAATCACAATATATTAATTCCAAAATCAATACAAATGTCATAACCACAACATTATAATTGAGATCAAAACTATAAACAGTCCAATGTCAAATATTAAGCAATAATTCAGTCATAATAATCCCCAAATATAATCAGATTAAGCAATACAATTATCCCAACAATCAGAAAAACTATCCTAAGACTTAGGAATTGTTAAACAATTATTGAGTAAGAAATTAAAGCAACTAGAACTCCCCCTTAAAGATCCAAGCTCCTGCCATTATTGTTGAATTGGAGAATCAGAGGATCTTAGCCACGGTTTGCCATCAAGTTTGCTGCCACCAGCCGCGTGTGTGTGTTTCGTTCTGCCCAGCGTCCCCTGTTTCGTGTATGTGTTCGGCCTCTTCTCTCCCGTTCGGCATCTTTGCCCCCACTTGCGTCTTCCGCCTCCTGGAGAAGATGAAGAATAGATTGGATATTAGGTTATTAGTGTGGTGGCGCAAAACGCAACGTTTTGCCCCTTTCTTTTTAATTATTATTTTTTTTCTTTTTTTTTCTTTTTATTTATGTATTTTTTTTCATTTTTATTTCTTCCAAAAACCTGCAAGCAAATTCAAGGATAAGGTAGCATTAATTGTCCTCAAAATCAATTACTCACAATTAAACCAAAATATGACAATTTTGCCCCTATAAAATAATAATTCAAAATAAAATATATTAAAATCAATTACCAATCAATTAAGACCAAAAAGACTAATTAAGTTGACAAAAACCCATATAAAAGATATCAAAATATATAAAAATAATTGAGTTTGTCAGGTGGATAAAGAGAAAAAAAAAAATCTGCCTTTGTTCCTTTTAGACCTTTTGTTTTTCTCTTATGTTTCTTCTCCTTCTTCTTTCTTTCCCAAGTAGTCTGAGCATAAAAAAACGAGTCGTCGAATTTTTTGGTCGTCAGCCTGACCGGTCTAAGTTTGAATCTACTACCTATTGTAAACTGCAGGTTCAACAGCAGAAATTACAAGACATACCAAGTTTAATTACTTTTCAATTTTACCCTTATTTACTATATGCACTTTTCAAGAAAAATAACAATTTGCAAAACAATAGTTTTGGTAAAATTGTACATTCATATAATAAATTTAGTGAGGTGACATGTATTGACAAAAAAAAAAGCTCTTATTATTGCGAACTGGAGAGAGTATTCATCATTATTTTTAACTAATATTAACAGATTCATTAACTCAAGCAATTTGGTTAATTGGATCTCCTAAAAAAAGACAGAATGCTTGTAGTAGATTGTGAGAGCCCTTCATCCTTCACGCAAAATCCTCCCAACCTCACATGGCTTCTTTCCCGAGTGGTTGCAACATTTAATTACATGCATTTATTTTATGTCTTCAAGATGATTTCAGCACTAATCTTCACCACTGCTTGCATCATATACACACATCATAATTAATGAAACCTCACCAATTTTTTCTTGATTTCTGAAAAAGAGATTAACGTATTTTACTCTTAAAAATATTATAAATTACGCTAAGTTTTATTGAAAACTTTTCGTTTGCACACTTTTTCAAGTTGCATTTCCTTGTTAGTTTCCTATGTCTATATCAAGACTTAAGAATTAAAAACATATTTATTTTATCCAAAACAATATGTAGTTAACTAAACATGAATATGTGCTGCTTCGCTAGATATAATATAATATTATATCAAGTCGTTTGATTGTATTTCTTGTTAATAGAAGTCGTTGGTGGAATAAAATAAGGAGGAAATGGCTCAAAAACCGTAGTTTGAAAACATCAAAGGAACGAAAAGGGAAGCCACCACTTGTAAACGAAAAGGGGAACAAATACTTAAAATGAGATTTTTAAATAGAAGTTTTCTCACAGAAATGCTCCTCATATTAAAAAAGGAAAAGGTTTTCAACTTCCTAGCCAAAAGACCCCGCCAACACTCCAGCGTCTATCACCAGGAGGAGAATTTTTTTTGGGTAACAAAGGAGAAATTTTTTTGGGAAAGCAGTGGAGGTGGAATTTAATGCCACCACCACTTGGTGATTCGTATCAAAATTAATGATCGCCATTGAGACACCAATGCTTTGTTATCAACGTTATACAATACATTTGTGCGTGTAATATATATAACTTAGCTACTTAGCTTTAATTACTAGTCATTCACAACTTTTATATGGATATTGACTATATTTCAATATGTATTAACAACTTTCATTTTGCAAGTAACAAGACCTCTTATTCAAATCATTAGTAATTTTTATATGGATATTGACTATATTTTGTTGACTATTAACAACATTTGTTTAGCCAACTTTTATATGGGTATTGCCCCTCTAGTTCGGATTATTGGAGCTATTTTGTCCATCCAGTTTAATAATCTAAACCAATATAATCTCTCTGATGATGAAACATAAGCAATTAAAAATAATAAGTAGACAGAACAATAGCTGAATTTTGTTAGCTCCTGTACTTTTAGCTTCTCTTGAATCCCAACCCCCAAAACCCCATAAAACTGTGCTTGATGCAATGTTGACCTAGTTGGAATTTTGTATTAAATTGCTCTAGATAATTTGGGAGGATAATATTCATTTAACTGAAAACTAGCCAGATTAAATTGCGCTGTTAATATCACGAAGGCAAGTAAAATTTGGGTGCAAGGTTGTAAAGGGGATAATTCTGGTATGCAGAATATTTAACATGAAATCCTTTTTTAATCAAATAGATACTTATAAACAGTTTTGTTATTACCATAATCCATAACAAATTAAAACTCAAGTCTTCAATGCATCATATTGTATTCAAGACAACCTTCAAGTCTTCGCCGAGCGTAGTGAAATTAAACCAAGACGAGTGGTGGATCTTTAATGGCAGCATGATATCGGATAAGAATTTAAATTATTAAAATTTGGGATGGACAATTAGAACTACATGATAAGAAAAGAAGGACAAGTCATGTCATAATGAATGAAGCCACACCAATTTTTTCTTTCTTTCATACGAGTAGTTGTAACCTATAACTTGTGACGGTAAAAAGGTAGCATGTACATACTTTGTTACTCTTCATTATAAGACAAATTTTAGAAGGCTTTGATATTTCTATTTATAAATCGATTTATAAAGTATACATTATAATTAATATATTTTCAAGAATACTGTTTGAAAAGAGGATACTCTTAATTAATTTAAAATGACTGTGTGGAAAAGAAAAGCATTTTATAAGGAAGTGTGTTTTTGAAAAGATAATATGATTCCTAATCCGTGGCCTAAAAAAAAAAATTCTAAGGATACTAAATAGCTTTCGTGATTTATGCAAAAGGGGAAATTTTGTTTTCATGATTTGTGCCAAAGTACATAATTTTCATGTGAATGGAAAATGTAAAACAAAGTAAGTAATTAACTTCGTTGAAAATTTGGCTTGGAGACAATTTGCATACATTATGACATCGTAATGCTACACACATTTTTTTCCCTTAGTTTCAGACAAAAGTAGCTGACTTATAACTACATTCATTTATTAGATATGATTGAGCCAGTGAAAATATACATGATTGTGATGTGAATACAAAATGTACTCCCTCTTATCCGTAATATATATAAGTCACATTAAGCAATTCATCAGAACTAAAAAATAGTAGTTAACTCATTAAACTTTTCATGAATTGAAAATTAATATTTTTTCAACTCTATTCAT